CCCCATCAATCTTATTGAAAAAGTAATTATCTCCTACATAGATCGTTAAATCGAACATCATAGGGCCCAACAATGTACTATAAAAGTCATTATCTTCCTCATACATCGTTGAATCTAATATCATGGATCATCTTGGACTAAAAAATTAATTTGATGTTTGGATATCCCATGTGGAAAAAATTTCATGCTCCCTTACTCTCATGAAAATTTCATTGATGATAGGTACATGAGGCTTATCGAATATGATTTTTTGTGAACACCCTCTACTCTACTAGCGTCATCCACCAAATTGAGCAAAAATAGAATATGGGAAGAGTGGAGATTGATGCATTTGGAATAGTTTTATATCTTTGCTTTCATGTAGTCATTTTTAACAACATAAAAAAAAAAATCATTACCCCCTAACCCAACCTCATTGAACACATGCTTGACAAAGTAGTTATCCTGATGGTCGTCACATGCTGGTTTTGATTCTCTTATTGGGGCAAGGTATGGAAGGGAAGTCGGGAATCTATATCTACAGATTTATATGTATGATTAGATAGAGAATTAGCATATGATAAATGATAAAGCATTAAAATTATACAAGCTCAACTATGCTATATTGAGCAATTGCATTACAAGTTAAAAATATGGAGAGGACTTCATCATCGTCATCGTCAGAGCCTTGTTCCAACTATTTGGGCTCAACTGCACTAAATCTTGTTTGACATTATGCTATATCAAGGGTCATACCCTCAATGAGGCCACAAGTCTTCACATATGTTCTCACTACTTCCAACCATGTCATTTTGGTCCTACCCCTTGTCATTTTTTAGCTTTCCACTTGAACCAACTTGCACCTCCTAACAGATGTACTAGGTCTACGTTGCACATGGCAAGCCCACTTAAGTATATTTGCTCTCATCTTATCTCCTATTGGAGCGATACCTAACTTCTCCCGAATGTATTCATTTCAAATTCTATCACTTTTTCTCTTGCCACTCATCCATCTGAACATCCACATCTTAGCTACACTCATCCTATGGGAATGTTGTTTTTTGACCACCAAATGTTGTTTTTTTGAACACCCAACATTCCACCCCATAAAGCAAAGCCGGTCTCACAGTTCTCCTATAGAACTTCCCCTTCAGCTTCATTGATATGAGGTGATCACATAAAACTCTGGTTGGACACTCCACTTCGCCTCTCCAATTCTAATTCTATACACGACATCTTCCTCAATCTCTCCATTTTCTTGGATTATCGACCCAAGATATTGAAAATGCATTCTTTTTTGTATTTCTTCATCGTCAATCTTAACTGCTTGCTCGTCTCTACTCCTATTATTACTAAACTTGCATTCAATATACTTTGTCTTAGTCCAGCTAATTTTAAAACCTTTAATTTCTAGAGCATCCTTCCAAAGTTCTAACTTTGTGTTGACATCGCTTCAAGGCCCAATAATGTCTCATCAATCAAACTATATCGTCCGTGAACAACATACACCACGCAAACAACATACACTATGCCACCATGGAGAGGACTTCTACCCCAAAAATATTGGAGCCCAAAGAGTGTTTGTCTAAATCATCCTAGACGGCCACGGTTAAACTTGTAACAAAGGTTTGAATCACCCAAATATTCATTGTTCATAATAAAGAATGAATTGGAAAGTCTACGATAATGATCAATTAAGCTAAGATTTTCCAATTAAGTCGATTCTTATTTTAGACATTGGATTAAAAAAGAACCTGAACAATCGAAAAGTTTATCATAGATTTTGATACACGCTTCAATCAAAGGAAAAGTTGATAGCTCAAACCATAAACATACATGTAGTACACTGCAAAGAATAACATTTACCATGGCATAAAACTAGGGATCCATTCTAATAACAACAAGAATCAGTTTCCAGCAACCAAGTACGTTAATATGCTAAATGTCGTATTACAATTGAGGGCTACAGGTTGCATAGACAGATCACACACACATGACCATATAGTGACCGCTTAACATTCAGGTTATGCTAGTGTAAAAAGCTATGGATACTCCTCATGTGACAAACCGTAATATTTGCCAAATATTCTTCAAGACATAACCCCACATTACACAACGAGTCAAGAAATTTTTTTGGAGAAGCAGTTTAGTAAGGAACATTTCTACTATAGAAATGGAATTCTACTTGGTATCTTTGCATATTGATAATACTAAACCACCATATTTCTTTCCACAAACAACAATAGCATCATAAATTAAATGCACGAATAAGTTACAGCTCTATCTTTCAAATAGACTCAATACTTATCCTTTGCTAGTGTACATAAATGTCGCTTATCAATGAAGAAAAGGAAAATGCTTTCATACCTCATCAGTCGATATACGTTACAACAACCCATATGCAACTAATATGGAAAGATAACCAAAATGATAAAATGAGTGGATGACAAGATTATACTCTTTAATTTTTTCAGGGGTAGAAACAAAGCGAACAATAAAAGAAACAGGAACTAGAAACAGAGAATATTTCTTTTCTTTGCCATTTTTTATGAGTAAAAGAGTAAAAGCTAAGACAAGTAATAAATAAATACTTTCTTTTGCTTTAGCTTAGCAGATTCTTACAATGATGATTCATGAAAAACACTTACAACGATTGATATTCACTGTCCAGGAGCCAATTTCTTATGATAGATATAGTGTTTAAAAACTCCTTGATCTGGATCGGGATCGCCCGATCCGGATTGAAAATCGTCCTAGGTAATCTGGTTCCCCGTAATATTTGGAACCGGGCACGTCTCCCCTCAAACCAGTTTAAAAAGTTTGAATTTTTTTATTAAAGAGAAGTGGCGCTGGGGCCCACCCCCCTTTATAATTTGAAACTTTTTATTAAACAGAGGTCACCATGGGGCCCACCCCTCGTTATGTGTTTTTGAGCTATCTAAAGGGCCCTATTTGGGATGACCTATACTATTTTATGAGCCACCACCCACATGTGCTTAAGTGGCTCAAGCCCACGACCTTCCCTTTGCTTCCCTGCAGTTTATAACCCTTTGCCCCTCGACGCTTTGGCTATGTTGCGACGTAGGTCTAAAATGGACAGTGAAAAGAATGCCCAATGTAATGAGAGGGAGGGAGAAGGGTAAAGCGAGAAAGAGATATATAGAGAGAGAGAGAGAAATGGATGAAAAAATCCCAATGTAATAAGAGAGAGAAGGCGAGATATGGGTAAAGAGAGAGAGAGAGAGGGAAAATGAGAGAGAAAAATGGGTATTGGTTAATATTATAGTGTATAATATATATATCATACAAAAAATTAATTGCTGGAACAAAAGAAAAGATGATGTACTGTTGAGATATGTAGTGTTTGTTATCCATGTTGCATTATTCAGTTAGTATTTTTCCCTTGATGATCGTCCTAACAACCCCAAATCAATACTATTATTTGTGGTAAGATATGCTACTATCTTGATACAACAAACACTCGACATACAACAGGTTCTCAGTACTAATATATTTTCAAATACAATAATAAAAAACCATTATTTATATATTTTCAAATACAATAACAAAAAAAACCATAGCGCAATACCTTTTTTTTTTTTGAAAACCTAAAAAAGCTAGATTTTAAAGAAATTTTAGTATTTTTTGAAATTTGTTTGAGGCCGAAACCACCCGATCGGGCCAATTCTCCGATCCGGATCGCCGATCCAACGTGGTTTTTGGGGTAGCCGATCAGGGTCATCGATCCGATCTTTAAAACCTTGGATACATATATACAATACGACAGAATCATAATGCATAAGCAAGGGGACAAACCAAATGAAGCGTGCCAAAGTTTAGTATCCACAACTTTTTTAAGCGAAAGTATATAATGAGACCATTTACTTTTGGTACAAAGTGGTCACAATTAATCTTGACCATTGGATGTGAAATTGGGTGGCTGCATTTATTTCATTGACCAAGCTCAAAGTTCAAATGAATTTTTTTTTCACTTTGTGACACACCTAAGCTATCAGATTTCACATCAAATGGTTGTAAATAACAGCTCTTAATCAATACCAAAAGGAGGAGGGGGGGTACCCATTTCCAATGAGACACTGATTTTCTAAAACCCAAAATCATTAGCAGCATTTCTAAATATCCTTATGAAGGCAGAGCGAGAAAATCCCAAGAACATTAATAGAATCCAGAAATTCCTATGAAAATATACAGTTAAGAAATAACTCAACTTCTGTCTGAAGAGACTGAAAACGACAAAGCCTCAAAATTAACCAAAATTTTATTGGAACAATAAAAAAAAATCAAAGGGATTCTGGAATCAGGTTTAAGTAAAATACAAACATCATAGAATAGTAAATTGTTTTCTAGCCTAGTAGAAAAACAAACATAAGACTTTTCACAAGTAAGAAGCATTCAGAACAAAATATTAGATCTCACATCAATTCATATTCAAATAACTCATAGAAAATAAGTAAAAGTAAATAACTTTTTTTGAAGTAAAGCAAAACAAATAAAAAACACAAACGGATCATAGGATCTACATATCAAAAATACAAACAACTCTAAATAGAAATTTACAGAACTAGCCAGGAAGTAATAAAAAAAAAAAGGAAACTGGAATTGCAGCAACAGAAGAGAAAAAAAAGCACGAAGAAAGTACCATCAAACAAACAATCATCAAATTACTGGAAAACATAGTCAGAAAGATCATATCATCAACCTATTTTCTAAGAGATATAGAGAGAGGGGGAGATAGAGAAGAAAACAATCACAGAAAGGAAACGCTAATCAAAGTAGGCCATGAAGGACAATAGGATTGCATAAATCAAAGACTGAAGAGAGAAATCAGATGCAATAAACAAAAAGCAAAACACAGGCGAGACAGAGAGAGAGCAAAGCATTAGGTGAAGAGGAAAACATATCAGAAAGATAAAAGGGAGTTCAGAGGAGAGGGAGAGATAGGATTAACCAACCAGGATCAATTGATAGTAAAGAGAAATGAATAGGTCGGATCAACTAACCTGGGTACATAGTGAGAGAATGAAAGACCTGGAATACTCGATCTCTAACTTAGAGAGAGAGCAGGATATCGGATGCCCTAGCTCGTTATTCTAGTCTAGAGAGACAGCACAGTAGTGGCAAAATTGCAGAGAGGCTCCCTGTAACAAACCCAACACTATCACCAAGGTCTTTAGCAACACCAAGGTCTTTAGAAAGTTTGTATCTAGTGATCAATGAAATAGCTCGTTGTAACAAAAGAAATGCCCCCAAATAAATAACCAATCCAGACTCAACCCACATTCCACCTACATATACAAGCCATCTATTGTTCAGAAAAAAGCCTTAATTCTCCCTTGTTCCCTGCTCATTTTCGCATCATTTTCCCTTACAAGCCTTTATCAATTGGATTTTTCTTGGTTTTTTTAGTGGGATCTGCGTTTTTTTCTCATGATTTTTCTAGTGCGTTGGCTCCTCTCATGAAATCGATTTTGTTAAGGGGCTAGGGACCCTTGTCTTCGTTCTCTCTCAAGAGAGAGAATGGATTGATAATTGGACAGGCAGAAACTCACATAGAAAGAGGAAGTGAGAGGGAAGAGAGAACCAGGGTGAGAGAGAGGAGAGATTGAGGACGTGGTTTCCCTACCACTACGGCGATAGAGGAGGGAAGAGCAGAGGAGAGAGAGAGGGACGTACCTCGTTGGAAGAAGCCTCTCTCTCGATTTATATCTATGGACGGACTTCCCCGACAACACAAAACTTATATACTTCCCCCCTGGAACATAAGACTTCCGTACTTCTATGCATAGAAACCTTTCCTATCTGCGGAGATGGATTTAGTTTAGATTCCTGTTAGATCTTAGCTTCTTCATAAATTTAAGTACGGATGGTCCAATTACAAAATGAAATTACATTTATTTCAAATTGCAGGTGGCATCCTCTCGTTGCATTTTTTTTTTTCTAAGTTACTCTTTCTAACTTACATTATGTACTGGTTTTTTTTTTTTCAAAGTTACCTTTTTCAAGTTACCCCAATCTCATAATACGTATACCGAACAAGTGGAGTTTATACCGTGTAAAGTAAAATAGTTGTTTGGTATTTGAAATACCGGATAGCGATCTGCTATCTCCAAAACCAAAAAGTCATCTCTCTCCAAATATCGTGACTATATTTTTAAAAAACTAATATCTCTCAACCCTTCTCTCTCTCACGCTCTCTCTTCCCAAACCCTTCAAACATTTTACATATTTTAAAAGGAGAAAACATATTCGTTGTCATGCCCTAACTGAATCTCCCACATTAGAAACTCAAAGATGCCATTAACGCTTCCTATTCTTCTTCATTTTCCTGCCCTTCAACCAGCTGGGGTTTCCCTATTGTTGAGCTAGGTTTTTTCGGCACATTGCATGATCAATCTTTAGTCGTCGGGCCTTTTGTTTAATAAGATTTGTCTCGTCCCTGTACTTTGAGATGATGCTTAACTAGGGTGAGATCCAGTTCAGGCATGTCGCTATAAGACCATGCAAAGACCTTCCGGTATTCTTTGAGGAAGCTTACCATCTTATCTTGTTCTTCGAGTGACAAGGAAATCCCGATCTTGGTTATTTTCGGTTCGTCCTCGAAACCCATGTTGACATTCAATGTCTCCTCGATGACAAATGTCGGGTTACCATCGAATTTATAATTGCATTGTTCGACGTGGGACCGAAGCTCTTCTAGCTCGGAATCACTTTTGATTTTTGTATCTGTTTGTTTCGAGATAGAGGGGTCTGGCTCGTCACCAGGGATTTCCATTATAATATTTTCATATTTGTTTGGGATTTTTACATCTTTAAAAGCATTTTCTCCAACAAAATCTAATTTTTTATTAGATTTGTTAAGATTTTTATCATTTTTAGAACTGATGTCCCGTACAGGATTGGATGAGGTGATAGGAAAAGACGAGGGTGCGGGGCACTCCTGGGGATACCACGCGCCTACCCATTTTTTAGCACTAGTGTTTGTTGGCATTGCCTGAAACCTTCCAACACATTGAGGTCATCAGAGCGAGTGACCAATTCCGTCCTTGGCCCTCTTAAGAGGTGAGGAGAGTGTGACTTGTATCTAGGGGCATTCTCCTACTACTCAAGTCGAGTTGGGCGACATGGTCCTTGACTGGTTGGTGTGTGTGCTCACTTGAAGTTGGATATGTACGGAGTTAGAGATATTGGGTAGGGAGGCGATACTTGTTTGTTCGGTGTCTAGTAATTGCAAAGTTCTGGGAGCAGTATTGTATGGAAATTGAATGATGTCTCCCATTTGTTGGGATGGAGGAGCAGGGTTTATGGAATCAGGATTTTGAATTCCCGAGAAAGTGAACTTGATTAGCCCTTCGGGCCTCTCATAGTTTTCCAGAGGGAGTGTGAGCATCCTAACCCTCTTCGGTCATGTTTTTCTTGTTTTTTATTTATAGAATTTGTGATTGTCATTGCTGCCCCTGTTTCCAAGGGTCCTAGGCCATGCCTGACGTTAAAGCCTTGGGTTACAAGCATGTACTAGGCTTCGAGTGACCTATATTTGTATTTATTGTAGCAGAATTGGATTTGTTTGTAGTATACTTCTCGAGAGCATGGTTGCATGTTTCGAGAGTGAGAGTGGTGCAGTAAGGCTCATCATATATTTCGAGAGGTGCATCAAAACGTCATGGGATGTTGATGCCCCCTGATGGGTCTAATTCCAATAGATTAATAGCTTGGGGTGGTCAAGGTAAATGGTGATCACCTCTTAGTCTGTAAGGAACTTGAGACACTGGTGAAGTGTTGAGGCTATGGCCAGATTTTCATGAAGTCACAATCGTCTTAGGAGGAGGTTGAAGGAGGAATCTATATCTGAAGCATAGAATATAACTATCTGGGATATAGGTCCTACACTAAGAGCTATGGGCATAATGCCCTCGCCCTATCTCTTACTCCCATCGTAGGCAGTGATGGTGAGCTGAGAAGGCTCGAGGTAAGCTAAGTCTATACCTATTCTTTCTAGGGTCCTAATCGGACAAATGTTGAGGGTTGTCCCATCATCAATGAGCACCCTTGGGTTTCCATGGCAAGCCACATGGAAAGTAATGTAAAAGGCTTGTTTATGGTATCAATTAGTGTCAGGAAGGATGTTGTCATCACTGAAGGTAATGAGTGAAGCTGTTAATTGTGAGATTATCTCACTGAGTTGTTCAGGTCTAGTGTTGGGCGGTACATGTGCCTTTTGGAGTACTCTCTCAATTTGGCACCAGTGAATAAGAGAGCTCCTAAGCAGATCTATAATGGATATGAAAACAAGGATCCTATCTAGGTGTGCTGAAAGGTCATAGGTGCTAGGAAGATTATTAGTTGTCCCCTCTTGGGCTGGTTGAGCACTAGAAGTTGGGTTATGTGTGACTGGTTGTGGCATAGGGGTAGGATCCCCCATCCTTTCTTGAAATGTGTCGCCTCTGAGCCGGGTTGGCTTGAAATGTCGACCGTGTCTTGTAAGTGATGTAATAACCCCATCAATAAGGGTGTAAAAGGGTTGGTCTTTGATCCATGAGTCAACATCTTCACACACACCTTCCAATTGGATTGTTTTATAAGTAGGATACCCCTCTTCAACCCTAATCACTACCAAGCTATTAGGCGACATGCAATGATCTTGATCGATTTCCTCACTAAGGGTCATCTCAATGTCTTGAGGCTGTATTAGGGGAGGGCAAACTCCTCTAAGATCTCTGGGGTAATTGTCATCATGATGTCTTGATGCCATGTCTGAGATTCTGAAGGGGTGAGATGCCCTTGGTCATTTTGAATAGCAGGCATCGAGATGTCTCGGAGAGGTTCTTGAAGGATGGCTTCCCTTGGAATCATTCGAGTAGCCAGTATTATGCACAGAAAGATGAGTGAGAAGGGGTCTATGATATACGACTCTTCACGGACGGTGTAGTTCGTGGCTTTGCCCCTTGAATCCCATGGTTGGACTTTCGTGCTTGTAGATGGTGGTGGCACATTTGGCTGAGGATCACCAGTCGGCAGTGAGTCAACATAGATTCTCATATTTTGATTGGCCTCTTTAACAGGCTCATCAGGTTTTACTACCTTAATGACCCCTCTTTCTATCAAGAGTTGTTGAAGTACTTCAGTCAAAGTTGTTTCAATGGGGTGAAGCGCCTTTCGGGTCTGATGGGATGAATGTAAGGTCTGTATCGGTCACCACCCCCATTCTGGTTTCCTCGTTGGTCTTAGCTAGCTGGTAGATCCTGATTACTTGGATTTGCCTAGTGGAGGATAATCCAGTTTACCCGGCTTGTTTAGCTCGATGGACTTTCTTTGAGGATTCATTAAATTTCTGATTCTCACCCGTCTTAATACCGGTCATTTGAGATTTAGTTCTCTCATATAGTGCGATCTTTTTTGACATAATGTTGAACATCAGAGGGACACCGTAGCGACTGAAGAATGTTTTGTAGTCATTATTATAACAAGAAAAGAAAATACTATCACAAAATAAAGGAGATGAAGGATTGGGGGGAGAAGAGAAAATCTACACTATCAAACAGGAGAAACAAGGAAGAGACATAAATATAACAAACCAAGAAGGATATTTGCTACAAAAATAAAGAAAAGGACTATTTAATGAAGAGAAAAATGATGGAGACGTAGATATCTACTATTAAATGAAGGAAACAAGGAAAAGAAATAAATACCCAATCAAGAGAAATGAAAGTACACCCACTAAGAGGAAAATATCCAACAAATAAAGAGATAAAAGGGACATAAGAGGTTGAAATAACTAACCTAATACAATAAAGACATCATTAACTAAGGGAACATAAATAGGATCAAGAATGAGAGAAAATAAAGGAAAATAAACAAATATAGTTAAAAATAAATAAATGCAAAGATCATGAAAAGAGGAAAAGGTAAGCTACATTAAGAAATGAAGAAGAAAATGAGGCAAGCTATAAATGCAAATGATAAATGAGAATAAATATTAGAAAAACAAATAAAATAGAGAAAAGAGAAGAAACACAACATTTAGGCTGAGCCCCGCGGCTCAGCCCCCAGAGTATATGCCGATTCAGATAGTAAATTGCACAATTAATCCCAAACTTTCTTGGTTTTGTAATGGGGCAAATAGAAATAGGAAGATAGGGGACCGGAAGGTCTTATTATCCGTATCGCCTTTGGTTTGAAGTGTATCTTGAAGTAGTTTGTGTCTATAGTTTTGGATTGAAGGGTTTGGTAGGATGGGGGTTGCTCAAAGTGGGCTCACCTTAGGGCTCTTCTCTCAAGCTCAACCTTAGGCTTAAGATCAAAAGATTTTGGGCATAGTTTTGAAACAAAATTATCAGAGTTTCGACCCTTAAGCCTGAGGTAAAAGGGGTTATTTATAGGTGAAAATGGACCCATAATAGCCTGTAGGCTAGTTTTTTGTGATTTTTTTGTCATCAAAGCATCGACGACGCTTGCAATAATGACAGTCAGTAAATATTAATTACTCATTAATGCGAGTTCTGTACAACCTGTTAGATTATGCGGCATTTCAACTACCTTCAAACACTGTTAAGGACATGTGTCACGTTCTGGTGGCTCTGATTTGGTCAATATGGACCAATCGCAGCTTTAAG